TTCCAGCCAGTCTGTAAAGCATCTTACAGCCCATTTAGTTTGGCGAATGGTGTTGGGTTCATTTCTGGCTGATTCCAGGTTGTTCAGCTGTTCTTCTGTCACAGCTGCCGACTGAAAAGCTGCTCAGTGGTGATGACAGTTTGGGAATTTAGTGTCGTCTCATCTTCAGAGTCTGACCAAATCAGCTGTCGGTCAAATGTGATCTTAAAAGTGTCCATTTTCTGTTTGTGGCAAAGTAAGAAGTAAAAACGTTCAAATGGCTTGAGCGTCTCCTACAGCTGTCAAAGTCGTTGCTAAGCAACAGCGTCTCAGCGGAGTGATACAGTGTTTGTGAAAAAACGTGATGTTATGGTGAAATTGCCAATGTTCTTCTTTCTTGTCTGTTTCCTTTTCTCAGTAAGGGCTTCTTTACAGCTACATATCCTTTCATACCCACTGTATTAAGTGGTCTTCTCAGAGTGGAAGGATGAACAGAAATGCCTGGTGGCAGGAGAGGTGAGCCAGCAGCTCAGTATTCCTGGCTGAGCCCTTGGGAAAGGAATTTTTCAAATCTGAAGCAAAGTGAAGACAGATTTTCTCCTATTTCTCAAAGATGAAAGCTTTATGTAATGTTTATCTGATGATGACGGTTTTGGTGGTCTCCTGTGTCTTGCGTAGTTTTTGGAGGTCCCATTTTCTCTATATTTTTAAGTATTTTTTGGATTTCCAATTTCAGAAGGTTTTGTTTTTTTAGTTATTTTCCTATTCTTCCCTCTTCCTAATGCAAGTGGATTATGTTATGCCTAATCATCCCTTGAAAAACGAGTAGCTTGTTCTTAATGCCTGCTTTGACTAAAATTAAAAGAAGAGTGGTCTCTTAGTTTTGCACAGAACTGCAGTGCAACTTCTTAGTACATCCAGCATCCAGCAGTATAAGTGAATTTTGTTAGGCTCTATTCTTCTCTTTTTGGGATTCTTTTGACCATAAAATGATACAGTAACAAAACCTGCATAAATAGGGACTCAGCATAAAATAGAAATGAGTGAAAGTAGTCTTCAGTATGAATAAAAGTCTTATCATTTAAAAATAATCATAAACAGACAAATTCATCAGCACTGTTTTGGTAGATGCATATGATCTAACTACAGATGCAGTACATACACTGAGTAAACAGAACTGTTAACATCAGTGCCTGGAGAACAAAATGTACCAGTTTGATTAACTTTAATTTTGTTACCAAACTCTGATATTTTAGGCTACATAAACTAATAGAATTCATTTTTATTTTTCTGCACAGGTTCAACAACCGCTTACTAACAGAAATCATAGATGGATACGAGTCTCAGAGATTTTTTTTTCCCTACAGCACATTTCACAAGATCTAAAGCAATACTGCCCTCTGGTGGTTGGTTTGTATAATTTAAATGACAGTTTAGTAAGTGCTTCATCATTAGAGCCACACATCAGCACAGCTTGAGTCAGCCTTAATGCTACTGTTCTTACACAGTGCGAAAAAGGAGAGAGACAGACAGAGAGACAGACAGGTGCATTTTGGTCTTGCAAGAATGCTCTGTGCTTTTACAATCCTTTATTAGAAACACCTACCCTGTACTTCCACTCACTGGCCACTTTATTAGAAACACTGGCCACTTTATCAAAAACACCTACACTGTACTTCCACTCACTGGCCACTTTATTAGAAACACTCTGCTTCCACTCATTGGCCACCTTATTAGAAACACTGTACCTCCATACACTGGCCATTTATTAGAAACACCCACCTTGTACTTCCACACACTGACCACTTTATTAGAAACACCCACTTTGTACTTCTACACACTGGCCACTTTATTAGAAACACCCTCCTTGTTCTTCCACTCACTGGCCACTTTATTAGAAACACCCACCTTGTACTTCCACACACTGGCCACTTTATTAGAAACACCCACCTTGTTCTTCCACTCACTGGCCACTTTCTTAGAAACACCAACGTTTTACTTTCACTTACTGTCCACTTTATTAGAAACACTGTACCTCCACACACCAGCCATTTTATTAGAAGCACCCACCTTGTACTTCCACCCACTGGCCACTTTATTAGATACACCTACCTTATAGGTCTTTTATATTGGTGTACAATCATAGATTGTTGCTGCATATTTTGTCAGTCACCCTCTACACTGCCATTGACCAGATGGGTGGTGGACCATTCTCAGAACATGACACTGACAGTGTAAGTATCCACAATGGACAAATAATACCCAGAGTGTGGTTCTGTGGCCTGAAACTGGCCTCTGATGAAAGGCTAACACAAATTGTGCATCACCAGATAGGCTACAGTCTCTAGAAGTGTACCAGTGGTACCAGGGGTGATGGGGTTTCTGAGAAAGTGGCCAGGGATTGTAGTTGTGAAGTATTCTCTGATGAGTTTCCCAAATTGAACCACTGCCACATTACTGTCAGTGCCCTCATATAGACAGGGTCAATGAAAAGTGTGGAGTAACCACATACTTTTCATTTGAATTATTCTTGCTATTTAATGTACAATAATAGCGTACACAACAGAAATTAGACACTAGACACCATGCTTTTTAGATGTTTTATTTAAAATTTGAGTGTTTCTGGAACAAGAAGTTATTAGAAGTACAATCATTATCTTTTTACACTTATTATCATTATCAGCCCTGAGGAAAAAAAAAAAAACACTTGCGCTATGGATTAGTAATTTTATCTTTTAACTTAAATCTGGATGTTATGCATCTTTTTGAGTCATCTAAAATTTCTTCACTAGTTTGCCAGCCTCCTACTCCTACTTGGGGAGGCACATGACTAGAATATTAGAATTGTTTGATGCATGTATTTGAAGAAAACAATTAGGTCAATGTTGGAGTCCAGGTTGAGTCTCAAGCTCCTGGGGTACAAACTGAGTCTAGAGTTTTTAATAGAGAATTTTAGTTTAGTCTCAGTATTAGCTGCAGGCCTTGCAGCGTAAGAAGTAAACAGGGCTAAGGCCTGGCACGTTTAACACGACTTCCAGCCTTTCATTCTAGAAAAACCTTCAGTCTGAAGGACAGAACTGAAACGCTACATGCAGTGTTTAAAAGAAAGAGGCAAAACACATGAAACGGTTTGCTAGTCTGTAGCTTGTAAAGCAGCTCTGCTGGCTAGGTTGAGTAACAGCTAATCCAGCTGAATCTTTAGTAAGTTTTAAAGGAATGTGATCTGTAACTCATTAAAACTCAGCTAAATTAGCTGACAACTTTAGCTGCATTAGCAGTTGCACTATCTAGCATACTTGATAACCAAACTAACTGCTAGCCATCAAGTTGTTTTGCCTCTTTCCCTTTAAACTCCACACATTTTCTGCACACGGCACCTCGGTCTTTTATAGAAGGTTTTTCTTTAATGGTAATTTGAAACCAAATCGCACAACAAACTGCTGGAGAACAGCTTTGCAGTAATGACAGCACATGACCTTAGCAAAACTGACAGGGCAAACTCAGTTACCGCAATAATATTGGTGGTCCTGATTTAACCCTTGTGTGGTGTTGGGGTCTGCGGGACCCACTATCAATGCTTACCAAAAGAAAAAAATGATCCGATTTATTATTATTTCAACCCCAGATTTCTTGGCCTTTGCTCATTTTCTGTGAAGAACATATAAAATAACCCATTTTTAGTGTCTTCACTCTGTTCACCCCCCACACATTTATATTACACATGTGGTGCTGGGTGAACCTGCGGGGAGTAAAAGTGTGGAGGTGCTGTGTCCTTCACTCTGTTCTCCTCCTACATGGCCTGCTGTTAGTGTGTGTGTGTGTCTGTGTGTGTGTGTGAGGGTGGACAACATGGACAGGCTGCTGACTGGCTACAGCTGCTAAAGGAGAACCCTACACTGGACACTTGTGATATTTTAAACAGCTGGTATATTTACATAAATTGTTATGGCTTTATTGATTTAACCAATAATGCGGTGGGTCCACCAGACCACTGAGTAACAAACACATGAACACCACACAAGGGTTAATCTGTTTTGTTCTGTTTTTTTTTCTCAGGCTTAAATTCCACATGACCTTAGTCTTGAATCAGAGTCACAAGATAACATGTAACTCAAATCTTTGGCATCTACAGTCTTCTTCTTCATTCTGTTTCAGAATATTAGTAGGCCAGGGGTGTCTAAACCTTTTTGAAAGAGGGCCAGATCGAATGTCAAAATACCCAAAGGCCGAACAATTATTTACAGAGGATTCAAAATATTATGTTTTCAAAATATCAGCGCCTAGAAACTGAGGCTTCTGTGAGCTACTGCATTTCCTATCACTGCATAAAAGATGCATGAGGCTTCATTTATTGTTGGCTTGTTCATTCAGAACAGTTTGGATCGATAAGTGCTTATAATAAATAAATTAAATTGTTTAAGAGTAATACAACATGTCTGATGTATTAATCATTGTTGAAAAATACACTTTGTGAGACAAACTAAACAAAAATCTACACATTTTTGGTTTTGTTAGAAAATGTTTTTTACATACCAAATAAACAGCATAGCCACGTTGTTGTTCAACCTTAACCTCTTATTGACCAGGGTATATTTTGTTTTGTCCATCTGAATTTACAAGACCAAATCGTAAGGCAAATTATTCAGTAACTGCATGAAATATTATTATTTTTTTTTAAAAGCTCCCCTCAAATTAACAAAAAATGTGTTTTATGATCACACATATTGCTATATGCTTACAATTTACTACTGAAAGCCAAAAATCTTAGACGCTCTTTGTATTATTTTATAAAAATAATTTGTACAGAGCAGATGCCATCTGTTTATAGTTTATAGCCCAGATTTGTGGAAAAATGGGTCGATTTTCAGTAGAAAAAAAAAAATTCAACTTCTTTTATTATAAGGGTTTAAAATTACATCACCCATCTATTTGACTGGAAAGAGGACAGTTACAGCTCTCATACGACACCCAGCTTTTGAATGTAGCTTATGAAATATGAAAGTTATGAAGAATATGACGAAGTGCGTTTTGGAACCACCGGTGGTCTCAAGGAGTTGAAGAGGTTAAAGGGTTAATATTTACTGAACGACTGAATTTGCTCTGATAAGAAGTTTTCTTATCTCAGTGTTTAGTTTGAGCTTTATGTCTGTAGTCTTGACTAAGTGTAGTTCAGTAAATGAAGCTGCAGGTCTGGTCAGCTGCCACCATCAGGTAAAAGAAAGAACTGCAACGTACTGGCTGGCGGGCTGCTTAAAATACACTGTAAGACAGAAGTCGGGGGCCAATTAAAATCGGTCTGTGTGCCGCATTTGGCCCTCGGGCCGGACTTTGGACACCCCTGCAGTAGACCTAAGCGCAAACCAGCAGCACTCTTCTCTTCAGGAACACATCATCCTCCTTGGCAGCCAGAAGAAGCATTAGCAGTAGCTTTTTCCATTACATCTCCATGTCTTACTCAGCAGACCTACAGCGTGCTGACCTGCCATCCCTCCTGCACTGAGGGCGGCTCACGTGCTGCGCTGGCAGACTCTGCTCTGGAGGCGGTCTGCGTGAGCAGGATCAGCAGGCCACACAGCAGGCAGAAGAAGGAGGCAGCGGGGGCCAGCATGAAGGACAGGCCATAGTGGACGCTGAGGTGGAGGCTGGGGCATGCCGAGAGCCTGCGCTGGAGGACGTACTGCTCCAGAGAGAATGAACCCTGCACCCACGCCGCAAACGTTCCTACCACCAAAAAGACAAGCAGGCCTACACACAGAGAGTTTAAGTTAGATGTATTGTTCAATATATTTCTTCTCTCACTGAGTATTGTGTGAAGGTTCTTTAGTCCAGTTAAATGACCAGGGCCCACTGACTTTCCCAAAGTTTTATTACACACTTCTATATTACAGAGATGAGTCTGAATCTTTAATACATAGCAATAATGTTAGCTTACAGGGATGAATCTGCATTTTTAGTGAGTAACTTACAGAGATGAGCCTAAGGCCTGAAACATACTTCACACAAGGACGCGAACGCAAATGACAGCGCTCGGTCAATGCACTGCAAATGCTCGGTCCTTCTGTACAAACTCACCGCGTGTTCTTACGTTGTTGTGGAGGTTAAAATACTCAGTACTGAAGGGGGCGATAGAGTACAAATCATAGAGGGATCTACTGTTATTCCAATAGCCTCAACAGCTAAACCTGGACAGTAGAGGAGAGTGGGCTGAGTGAGCTCATTTTATGGCATGAGACTTGAGTGGTCGTCTGCCATGGCAGTTGAGAAGCATGCTGGCGGTACAAGACCGCTTGGTCAGGCTTGGCTGTCGTTATAGCGCCCCTTGCTGTAACGTTCAGAATGCAGCTCGCGCTTGCATCGCGTTATGAAATGCGTCGTGACACATTTTTGAACGCAACTACACGTGAAACCCCACCTGCATAGCTCAAAGTGTCTGCGTTTGCGTCCTCGCGTCCTCGGGCCTCAATCTGCGTCCTCGGGCCTCAATCCTTAGTTAGTAGCAATAGCATTAGCGCATTAGCTTTCAGAAATGAGTCTGAATCTTTAGTGAGTGGCAGTAATGTTAATTTACACAGACGAGTCTGAATCTTTAGTGAGTGGCTTGCAGAGATGAGCCGGAACCTCTAGTTAATAGCTGGCAGAGATTGATTCTTTTGAGTGTGAATCTTTTGAGTAACAGTAATGTTAGCTTAGCTTAGTCCATAGCAATAACATTCACATACAGAGATGTATCAACAGTAACGTTTGCTAAATCAAACATCATTGTAGTCAGTCTGAAATGACCAAAACCCAAAAATGTGCCAAATTCTGAGAGGCACTGTACTGAGATGTGAGTTGAGCTCTCTAAACCTAACCTTGTTGGTTCCCAAACATGACCAACTCACAAAATCTGACTTGCTGGGTTTCTATCATTCTTGGCTGGAAATGAGCCAAAAACCTGTAAAGCTCAAATGAGCTGATCCTGTAGAGCACTGTAAGCTTTACAGAGAGCTGTGGAGGTGTTGAGGCCTATAACACACTAAATCAGCTTTAATAAGTTATAAACTGAATAATAGTGTTTCTACATTGAAGCAGGGCTCCCACACCTTCCCCATCCCAGTTTAACCCCCGACAAGAAGTGTTGAAAGGAAGAGGACAGCTAAACAGAATGCATTAATTATTAATTTGCCTTATTACCACCAGTTATGAAGAGAGCTCCTCCAGCTTCATAAAGGCGACGGCTGGCCGTTGGGATGCCGCAGATGGTGACAAACACACCAAGCGTAACCATGGTGAGTCCCAGCACAGACATAATGCACCAAAACGCCCTATGTACTGGACAACACATCAGATATGACTTCAGCGGGTCAAGTTTTAATGGAAAATCATGTTCTGTGATTTGGTTAGGGTTTTTGAGGAGGGGGGTCTACTCACCAGTAGTTGAATCTGAGGTTAAAATGCCAGAAAGAGGAATTTGGGAGAGATAGGCTGGTGTGCAGATCTTCTCTGATGGTTGGTTGGCTGTCAGAAAAAAATATGTATCATCAGTTCATATGTTTTGCTTATGCCATACGACATCATACACCTTTGGAGATTGTTTGACAAGACAACTTAGCCTGGCTCCCAGTTGCAGGTTAGGTGCCCAGGACCTACCAGTCCTATCATGCCTAACTTAAAGGGCCCATATCCTACATTTGTCTTGCATTTTATTTTTCCCTAAAGTCCACTTATGAAGTTTGTGTGGTTTAGAATTCATTTTACATGACATTTTCCAACCTTTCTTTATCCCTTAGATGTCCAGTAAAGTCAAAGTTTATTTATATAGCCCTTTTTACAACAGGTGTTGCCACAAAACAGCTTTACAGAAAAATCCAGCTCCAAGCTCCCATGAGCGTCACCAGTGGCTCCCTAAGAGCAGGAGGAAGAAACCTTGAAAGGAACCAAGACTCAAAAGGGGAACCCATTCTTCTCTGATCGACACCGGATAGCAAACAGCAGAATTAAATAGGCTGTTTTTGTTACTGTGCCTTTAAGACTGATACACCGATCAGGCATAACATTATGACCACCTCCTTGTTTATACATTCATTGTCCATTTTATCACGATTCTCAGGCCAGCAGTGACACTGAGCTGTTTAAAAACTCCAGCAGCACTGCTGTGTCTGATCCACTCAGACCAGCACAACACACACTAACATACCACCACCACGTCAGTGTTACTGCAGTGCTGAGAATGATCCACCACCCAAATAGTACCTGCTCTGTGAGGGTCCATGGGGGTCCTGACCACTGAAGAACAGGGTAAAAGGGGGCTAACAAAGTATGCAGAGAAACAGATGGACTACAGTCTGTAACTGTAGAACTACAAAGTAAGTGGAGCTGATAAAATGGACAATGGGCGTAGAAAAAAGGAGGTGGTCAGAATGTTATGCCTGATTGGTGTATGTGTAAATGTGTTTTGTTCTGATTGGCTGTGCAGTATTTTGCCTCATTCAAAAAGTAGTCTTTATAACTTCAGTATAAATGGGCGGGGCTAAACTACTGTAGGCTGTATATGTAAATGTTGTGGTTTTCGTGTCATCACAAAACCACTGAATTCAAAACAGATTGTTTTGCAGCCTAGTGTCCAGATGTGGACTGTATAGGTTGTGAGTGAACTTTACTTTTTGAAAATGACATTAAATTAAATTCATTAAATTCATTAAATTCTTTCATTTAAAATAAAATCAGGAAAACTCAAGTTTCAGTGATATGGGCATGATTTTCCATGTAATCACTGATTAACCCCTTAAATGGCCAGGGTCCACCAGCAGGCCCAAAGTTTTAGCACACACTCTTTAAGTTAGGAATAACTCAGCAGTCTGCACTGAAGTTCCTGTAGTTACTGAATAATAAGCCTTGGTATGTAATAACCCTGAGATTTTAAGGGGTTAATAAGCCTTAAGCATCTAATAAGCCTTTGAATTTGAAGAGGAATTCCACCAATTTTTCCAAGTTTCTTCATAATGCAATGATTCAGTGAAACAATCTGCATAATGCAATTGCTAATATGTAAACAAAGTCATTCAGGGTGGTTTGATGTCAGTGGAGCTGTTCTAGAGAAACTTGCTGCGTCAGAGTTGTGGTGATAGGAACCAGACATTCGAAGCATTTAATGCCTCTAAAAGCTCCCTCACAGAAAGTTATTACACAAAATGGTGACAAATAAGCTGCCTGATGTCTGCAACATAGCTTTACCATAGTTTTGAACTATGCTTTTGGGCAAAAATGTAATTTTGTGAACCTACTCACGGCAGAGAGGCACACGCAGGGCGTTAAAAGGCAAAACAACAGAAAAAGAAAACTTTTTTTTCATATTTACCACTGTTTTTCTGTTATCAACACTACATATAAAACCCAGAAGAAGCATGTCTTCGGTTCACTGGAGGTTTTGGATAGTAAATGTGTTGTAGACATTGGGACCCCTGGTTCCTATCACCACCTTTGTAAAGAAATTTGAATCAACAAGTTTCTGTACAATTAATTATTTCACCTCAAAACACTCTAAATGACTTTGTTTAGACCGCAAGGTTTTAATTAAGCAGAAATTCTTTAAAAATTTCTGGAAATTCCCCCTTTAAGGGTGAAATGAAGAGCAATTGGAGGGTATGGCTAAAGTTTAGACCTAAGTTATACCATAAGCAGTGCTTCTCCATGACAAAATCCTTTTTTAACCACAGATTAGCCTGTTTTTTCAACCTACTGATCCAAAAGTCCAACATGCTGTCCTCTCCTCTGTCCATTTCCTTCATGTAGGAGCATCTCCAGAAAACACCTTCATGGTAGGCCAGGACCGCATGTTCGGGACCATCTTGATCTTCTTGAAGGCCATCCTTCACATTGGAAATAGAATTATTATAATACATAATTATGATATAATTATTATTATCTTTGAAATGATCATTAGAAATTGGAATACACAAATACGCAAAAGTAATTTGCTTTTGATCATGATATTTAGCTGTACTGTACACAGTATAGAACAGGGAGTGAGAATAACATTAAATCTGCAGCATCTTAAATGGATAGTTTGGTGAAAAATCACATTTACACAACTTTCCCATCTTCTCAAATGTGGTCATTTAGTCAGGATATGTTTGGTTTCTAAAGTTTGCATCGTTTTTGCTAGTGAACTGTGAGGGCAATGAAAGCTTATGCCAGGCTAATTAAGCTGAATTGAGGAACTCAATGTTGTAATGTAAAGGGAAACCAATGTTTCAAAATGTAGGCATAATTAAATGGTTAGCAAGCCAAAAAAGTCATTCAGAGTGGTTTGTTGTGAAATGATCCGTTCTAGAAAAACCTAATGAGTCAGAGTTGTTTGCAGTGGTGGTGATAGGAACCAGACGTCTCCCTCTTAAAGCTCCCGACAGAACATTATTACATGAAGTGCTTATGAATACACTGTCTAATGTGTGAGACATTGTTTTACAGTGGTTTTGTGATAAAGTTTTGGTGTAAAATGTTTTGTAATCAATTTAATTTAATCTATTCATGGTGGATGGATACATGAAGTGTGTTTCAAGGCAAAATAGTCCCCAAAGAAAACTTGTTTCATCAGAATGTAGATTTTGTATAGTGAATAAAATGTCCCTATTTGTATCATAGACATGGCGTCCCCTGGTTCCTATCACCACCATTGTAAAGAAATCTGAGTTACTAAGTTTTTCTACAAGGAACCATTTTACATCAAACTGCTCTGAATGACATCCCAACTGCTGAATTACCAATTTTTCTAAATTTCTTCATAATTCCATGACTGAGATACAAACAAAATCATTCAGATGTTTTTAGATGGTTTGATGCGAAATTGCCATTTCATTGTAGAGAATTGTATAATGGTGCTGACAGTAAAAACCACTAAACATCCTGCATGTACCTCTCTGCCATAAGAGGTACCTTTAAGGCCGAAAACATACTGTAAAACAATGTCACTCACATACATACATACATCATCTAAACCGCTTATCCTTCTGGGTCACGGTTGGGTGCTGGAGCCTATCCCAGCTGTCATTGGGCGGAAGGCAGGATACACCCTGGACAGGTCGCCAGTCCATCACAGGGCACACAGACAGACATACACAGTCACACCTAGGGACAATTCAGCATGTCCAATCAGCCTGACTGCATGTCTTTGGACTGTGGGAGGAAACCGACGTAGACACGGGGAGAACAGACACATATTTCGGGAAATTTATTTGTAACTATTTCATGTTATTACTTTCTCTGATGTAACTTTTAGTTCCTTCAGACGTCTGGTTCCTATCACCACCACTGTGAGCAATTCTGACTAAGATTCTCTAGAATGGAGCATTTCACACCAAACCACTCTGATTTACTCTATGATTTAATTATGCAGCATGAATGAAAATGGGTGAAATTCCTGGTTAAAAACTTGAGATGATTTTAAGACAAGTGCAATGATGTAGGTATGCAGTGTGCATGATGCTAACTAGTAAATACAATTCAATAGGGCAACTTGTTAGCTAGAATAGCCTTGTAGCTAACCTTCAGACGCCAGACATGTCTTGCATCCTGATTTACTGCATTTTTCTATGAAGATTGTTCACCTTAACTGTCACTTTAAGTACTGTTAGAATGCTTTGGATACAGTTGTTCCAGTTTAGCACTGGTCTCTTTAGCGTCTCTGTTCTTATCATTCATAACAGCTGTGTGACAGAATACATACATGCAGCTGTTCCAGGACCTCAAATAGTACAAGAACACAGAACATGATATCAGTTTAGTTTGATGCATTTATACTCATTCCATTTGGTCTCCCTTACCTCTGTAGTGACTCTCCTTAGTCTTGCTGTAATTTTGTCCCCTGGATCACAAGACTCGGAGGCTAGCAGCCAGTAGTCGGTCCCGAGAGAAAGCAGAAGAAAGATGGATCCCAGAGCTCCACAGAATCCGGCAATGAACTGCAGCACTGCCAGCCGCATGGTGGATAAACTGAAGCTCATTCATCTACTGTATCATCTTAACTGCCCACCGTCTCATGTATAGATTATCATCTGCCTTCCAGGATGGGTTGTCTGTCCATCTCTCATGTCTGTGAGTCTATGATCAAATTAGATTGCCAACCTGTCTTCATTATTTCTGGTACCATCATTAGATTCTACTTTTAGCTCCTGAGTCAGTTTAAAGCAGAGGTGTGGCACGATTCAAAAATAACCGCTAATAAAAGACGTGTTAGACGCACATGATTGACAACAGTTGCATTCCTCGTGTTGAGTGCTGGAAGTCTCAGGTTGTGCTATAAGGATCGTGTGCTGGATGGATGTCCGCAGCTGCACACTGGAGATGATGTAAGAGTAGTGAAAATAGAATCTGTCATCATGCGTTGTGAACCTTTTAGATATAGTTACAAAGTGTTTAACTTTAGCTGTGCCACTAGGGGGAGCCAGGGTTAACTGTAAATTGTGCTGACACATTTCACATGTGTTACCTCATGTGTTACACCTAAAGCCCTTCCCCAAACTGTTGCCACAAAGTTGGAAGCATAATTGTCCAAAATGTCTTTGTACACTATGGCATTAACATCACCCTTCACTGGAACTAAGAGGCCCAAAACCTGAAAAACAGCCCCAGATCATTATCCCTCCTCCACCAAACTTTACTGTTGGCGCTATGCGTTCTAGTAGTGTTCTCTTAGCATCTGCCAAACCCAGATTAGTCCAACAGGCTGCCAAATAGTGCATATAATATGTAAGTGACCCTTATTAGTTCCAGAACAGGGAAATTTCACCTCTGCGTTTTGACCCATTCATGCATTTAAACACCACATATACACTAGTGAACACATACACACACACACTAGGGGGCAGTGAGCACACTTGCCCAGAGCAGTGGGCAGCCCTATCCAGCACCCAGGGAGCATTGCTCAAGGGCACTTCAGTCACATACTGTCAGCTCTGGGTATCAAACCAGTGACCTTCTGGTCACAAGGCTGGTTACCTAACCTCCAGCCCATGACTGCCCACATTGATTTATGGTTCAGTGCTCCAGGGAACATGTATTTACCGCTCCAGAGGTCAGAGGAGGCGCTTTACACCACTTCAACTGATGCTTTGCATTGTGCATAGTGATCTTAGGCTTGTGTGCAGCTGCTCCATCATGAAAACCCATTTCATGAAGGTTCTGAACTGAGCTGAACCACATCACTAAATCACCTCTCCTATTGATACACACTGTGCAATATATCATAACTGCTACTGTAATGACTCTCACTGCGCTCTTTACACTGTAATATCGATGCAACTCCGAGTCAGTTATGTCATATCATTATGTCTAGATTTATTTCAATTTTCTATTTTTCTGCATAGTATATGTAAGGTTATGTGCAACTATCTATCTATCTATCTATCTATCTATCTATCTTAGTCCCTGAGCTCTTCAATACAACCCATTCTACTGTGGAAAAAACAATGAAGTGACTTTGCATCCCAAAATGTATTATATGTAACTGATACACCACATTATCAATGTTACCAGTTTATTAATCAGTTTGGACTGAATATTATTATTATTATCAGCAGAATGCTCACATTCTTAAAGAATGAATGTATGAAGGACATCATATAGAAGAATAATAGTCTAGGTGAAACAGGACTGAGGCACTTTATGTATTAAGTGCATGATACTGCCTAGAGTCAGGCCAAAGGTGAAGAGCAGTCATGACTCCGGCACCCAGATTGGGTTAATTCACAATAAATGATAATGTTAAATGACACCAGTCACGTTTGAACTGTAGATTCGGTAGAGAACAATAAACAAGTAACAAGAATTTGTGTTTCATTCTGACTTTCAATGACTACTATTTGCTGAACTGGAAAAATTCTGCCATAGGAGCACGGGAAGTGTAGCCATGCAAAGGGGCTCTTGGGAGGTGCTGTGCTCCTGGTAAGGAGACATGGCTGTTGTTCAGTCTAAGATGTGCATGTGTGTTATTAGTGCTACTCTGCACTGAGCTGTGAGGGTCACTGGTGTCAGTGTTAGTGTCTACAGTAAAGAGAAAGGGTATGGATTGAAGTGACCTGCCCACTTAAATAGTGCTGGCAGTGGTTCTCACTTGCTGTCTGTTCAATAAAAGAGCACTTGCCTTTAAAGCACGATGTTTTCTGCATCATCTTCTTTGCTGATGCTACAGTATCTTTAGTATAATGTTTATTTCACCTTTTGGACCTAAACATCTAGCTGGACCCTCTTTTTAGGCCTGACATTAATACATTTGACATATCATGTGGTCTGAAAATCTCCCGCAAAATCTAATCTGACACTTCTGACTTTTAAATTATTATTTCAGGCTTTACAGGGTGACTCACAGCAGTGCACAAACACCAAATTTTAGTTTTTTTTTCTTCTGACACAATAACACTACTTCTTTCAGTTTTAACAAAAACAATGATGTAGTGCAGCTTTAACAATCGACTGCACTGGATAACAGTTGACTGTTATGTACATTTTTCCTATTTTAAGGCATCATTTTTAAGATTATCCTAGCATGTGTTACCACACAGCCATTTTTCCTTTCAGGCTAATATGAATGTTGACATTGTTATTATACTATGGTCATTTAAAACTAGGAAATAAAAAAGTACAGGCACTAGTTGATGGTACTATGTGGTATTATTTCATAAGATTCACTAAAATGTGTTCAAAATGTCTAAACACATTAAAGGAAATAGCATAAACTGATATTGATTGCATGGTTTTCAGACAAGCATAGCTTAAATGGACAAGCGTTACCTGTTAGTAACTTAGTTGACGCAGATTTTTTAAATGGAGAATTTCATCAACTTTGATGTGATGCATTTCTTAAAGAACACAATACCCTGCTGAGAAAAACAGACCAGCGTGCGTTCTGTACTGGTCTAAGCTGGTTTGTGCTGGCATGGCGCTGGTTTAGTTGCTCACCCAGCATGGTCATGCTGCTGACCAGCATACCAGCTACCAAAACACAACATATGCTGGTTTTTAGTGAGCAGCCATGCTGGTCCATGATGGTTTTTCTAGCAGGGTATTTGCATGTCAAAACCTTGTAACTCTGAAATTGTAAGTTTACTGGAAAAGGAAAAAAACATTCTTAAATTTCAATGTAAGTTAATGTAAAAAGATTTTTTGAGAGTATTTTGGATCATTTATATTGATATGTTTGTCATGAAATGTTGACACAGTGTAAAAGGCAGTTGGTATTGAAAAATGAAAATTGTTAAAAATTGACATAGAAGTTTTGTTCACAATGGTTTGATGTGAAATGGTACATTTTAGATAGTGGTGGCGATTAGAACCAGGGGTCACAATGTCTACAAATAGAGTTATAGCCTGTGGCAAGTGTGGCTATTTTATTTACTATCCAAAATGACAAGTCAACTCACGTGTGCCTTCTGAGTTTTGGATGTTATGTTGGTAATTGTAAAATAATGGTAATTAAAAATCTAAGCTTTCTTTGGGTGCTATTTTGCCTTATAACAAGACTGACCTCTCCACCATGGATGGATTTAAAAATATAAAAATCTTACGCCAATGAGGCATTAAATTTTTAAGCATTCCTAGTATCTTAAATTCTTAATCTTTAAGAGGCATTGAATTCTTCAGACGTCTGGTTCCTATCACCACCACTGTCACTGTGAACAATTCTGTCTCTGTTATTTCTCTAGAGCAGAGTATTTCACCCCAAACCACTCTGAATGACTTTGTTTACACCTCTGTCATTAAATTATGCAGAAATTTTGAAGTTGGTGGAATTCCCCTTTAAGGATTTAAGAATGCGAGCAGGTAGTGTGAGCAAACAGCAAAAACATGGATTTATTTGAGAGCATTAGCAGGAAACTTTTGACAGATCTCAATAAAAGTTTAGTTCAAATCCTGTTCTTACAACATATGACCACATGGTGGCAGCACAGCTTTAATTCAAATTTATCATGGGGGTTATACACCAAACAAACCTGTCTCTGCACACATAGGTGTAGAAAAGGGAGGGTTTGTGTGTAGGTGTGTGTATATGTACTTCACTAACACACCTTCTTGTATGTCTACTCACTGTCCAGTTACTGCAGTGCAGAGAATGATCCACCACCCAAATAGTACCTGCTCTGTGGTGGTCCTGTAGGGGCCCTGAATGTTGACAAACGGTGAAAGGGGGCAGACAGAGTATAAGATAACAAAGATGGACTACAGTCTGTAATTGTAGAACAACAAAGTGCTCCTATGTGGTAAGTGGAGCTGATAAAATGGACAATGAGTGTAGAAACAAGGAGGTGGTTTTAATGTTATCACTGTGTGAAATGTTTGGGGCTCAGATTCCCAAAAGCTTCAGCGTATTAAGATCATCAAGACTGTAGAGCTGGTAGAGAGAGTGTTTAATGTGATGCTCGCTCTACCATGTAAAAATAATCTTTGTCCTAAAATGCTTTTGGGAAACCCAGCCTAGTTTAGTTTTAGTTTAAATCACAGAATTGAGTGAAATAACGTGTTGTGTGTATGGAGCAGGTGTGTACAGGAGGATTACACCTCCACCACCCCCCCCACACACACACACCCACAATGAGTAATTAATGTTCTTATTTTTGGCTTATGCATCATTTACATACAATTATTATGAATTTAATTACAACCCCATTTATAAAAAAGTTGGGATGCTGTGCAAAATGTAAAAAAAAAATGCAATGATGTGCAAATATGTCCTATATTTCATTGCAAATAATACAAAGACAACATATCAAATCTTAAAACTGAGAAATTGTATTGTTTTTTGAAAAATATGTGCCCATTTTTAATTTGATGCCAACAAAACATTCCAAAACAGTTGGGACGAGGGCAACAAAAGGCTGGTAAAGCTATGTAATGCTTAAAAAAACACCTGGTGGCCAACAGGTCAGTAACATGATTGGGTATAAAAAGATCATCCCAGAAAGGCTGAGTCTTTCAGAAGTAAAGATGAGGAGGGGTTCACCACTCTGTGAAACACTGCATGATCAAATAGTGCAACAATTCAAGAATAACGTTTCTCAACGTAAAATAGCAAAGAACTTTTGCTTTTCATCATCTACGGTACATAATAACATTAAAAGATTCTGAGAATCTGGAGAAATC